GGCTTGGCCGAGCGGTAGTGTTGGCGGCTTGCAGTGGTGAGACCATGGATGGGATCTTGCTGGGCATGAAGTTTTTCTCTTTGTAATTAGGTCTGTTTTAAGTATGAAAAATTATTCAGTGTTGAAATTTTACACTGCGTCCAAAGCTATCACATGTTTAGAGGGGTTTGTTTAACGCATTCCACTTTTTCGTAATGTTTCGACCACTGTCGGGTGTTTCTACGCCACGGAAGTGACGTATATCCGACGATGGGCTAAACAAATGGGAGATGCTTGCTCAACGGACCAAATTATCTTTGAAGGCTTACTTCTAGAATGCTGACATTTGGACTTGAAACTTGGTTCACAATCAGTCGTTGGTGCTACCCCTAGTTCTAGCCACTACCCTCGTGCTATCCTGCCATAAACGGCAACTTGAAAAAAATGCCATACAATTCTTTAGATGGCGCAAGCAAGTAAAGCATACACGTATATCTCTTTCGCAACAATGATTGAAAGTTTAGTTCCATCCCATGATCAGGCTCTGACAATGGGTTGATGGATAGATGACTGCCCACATTTTCGACTTTAGTCAAAATTTTAGATTTGGACCAAAAGTTGTTGAAAGGGGTATTTGACGCGCTGAACACGAATATCACCTCTGCTTGGCACGAAATTGTCTGACGCGTGCGCTACGGGTGCCAGGGGCGGTTATTTGCAACCTCTTGTTCGTGGGCCTGGCCCGCTGCCACTGCACTATCTCGCTTCATAACTACGTTCAGAGAATCGTTCCGCAGATTTGGAGAGCAGATTCGAGATCAGCGTCAAAAACACATCTAGTGGTGTATGTCTCGTTACAAATGGCCACTTCGAGCTGATTCCCTTCCTCCTATCCTTTATTATCCTTTCCTTGTCAGAGCTGATGTTGCTATTTTTTATCAATTTAGCATAAAGTTTCGCAGACCAGGGATTGTGCTCGATCGCACCGATATCGACCATACTGACTTTTGTGATCTAAGGACGAAGAGCGCATAGTCGACTCGCAGAAAATTTATCTACGATACGCAGTATTCGAATGGGCCTAACTTTCCTCGGAAGTCCCCTGTTCGCGCTTCTCAGTCCACTCTCAGTCTACAGTAGCAGTATTTGTTTGTGACTCTCTCATTCGTTCGCATCTCACAGTCGCAGTATTCATTCACATTTCAGTTTATTTACAGTCACAGTTCTCGTTTGCGTTTCTCATTCATTCGCATCTCACAGTTGCAGTATTCCTTTGTGTTTTTCTCAGTACAACACTCGTTTGTGTTTTCCTCACTCATCCGCATTTCATTCATAGTTACTTCAATGCTCGTTGGGTTTTTCACGATGTCACTTTGTCATTTCATTCTCGCAGTACTCATTTGCGAATATGCTATTTTGCCATTCCACTGATAGTTACTTTTCCATTCGATTGTCACATCGTTTAATTCGATGACCACATCGTCTAAATTCCTCATTCGATTGTCACATCATTGTCTATTGCTGTTTCGATTGGCGCACTGTTCTCTATCACCATGACTTTGTTGATTTTACCTCTGAAATGTTGCCGGTTATTCCTAAGTTGCCTCAGAAGCGTTGTTGTGCGAGTAACATGTTTATGATGTTTCGTCACATTTGAAGCTTGAATGAAGTTTAATTACCCAAGTTTGAGGTTGTTCTTGTCGGTGGACCACCCGGGCCATATCGGTGTTAATGGTATTCTCGCTGTTTCAAATCTGAACAAATTCAGCAGTCTGTGGAGATATTCAGCGACTCCACGAAGTCAGTCCCGCGTGGCAGTTTCTAGTTGATATTCTGGCTATTATTCAGTTCGACAAGCCCGACGTAAGTCTTCAGAATCCACCACAGAACAATTTGGTGCATCGACCATTATTCTACTGTTCAAGTTAAATAGTGTTTCCTATTCGGTGCATCAACCATTATTCTGCTATTTCAAGTTGCACTGTATTACGAACTGCTCAACGCATTTCTACTGTTCAAGGTGCCACGATTTGAAGCGCTGAATATTATCCGCTGAGTTTCTACGAATTTGGAGCGCAATATTGTTCGCTGGTTTTCTACGATCCAATCCGACCGATCTACGAAGCAGTCTCGTCATCAAAAGTGAGCAATTATTCGCATTTCTACGTTATTGGCTGCTGTTTTTTTTCCACGTTTCTACTTTGAATCGACAACTTCTTTACTTTCAACGTTGCTACATTGGGTCGACCTTTTTTAATTCATTCGAAAATTTCTACATAAACAACTGAGGAAAAAAAATAATAACAGCAATAACACAAATGTCGCCCACACTCAAACCATTCAAAACGCGCTTGACAAAACTAGGGAAAACCCTTAGAAGGAACTACTACGAGACTCCCAGCACTGGACAATTTACATCCCGCCCAGGCTCGATAATGAAGAAGAGACTATCGATCATCTTATAGCAAAGAAGAGGACACTGAAACAACGTTTGCAGAATATACAAGCCGCGAAGTCGTCTCTAGAAAATGCAGTAGCGAGCTTCGACGACGCCTTCAACAGAATGGAACAGGAACAACAGGCGCAAGAAGAAGATGCGTACGGAACTTATACAGAGGCGGCTTGGGAGGCAATCACGTCAGCCGAAGCAACGATCGTCAAGATGAGAGAGAAGGAAGTAGAAGTCGAAAATACGCTGGAAAATCTACAACGGACATCCGTAAGGCGGAACCACGGAGATGGGACCAATGAAGTCCTAGCAGTGTCATCGAGGGAATCAAGACAAAGTTCACCTGCATCGTCAATACCAGTTCAAGTTCAAGTGTTCTTACCACGTCTACAGCTGCCTAAATTCAGTGGAAAGCGAAAAGAATGGGATTCCTTTTGGGCTACATTCAAGTCAAGCATCGATGATCAGCCTCTTAGTCAAATGATGAAGTTCAATTATTTGCTACAGGCGCTAGTCGGAGAAGCCCGACAAACAGCAGCACAATTCGAAATGATCGAAGAAAACTACCAGATCGTCATCGATTTTTTGAAGAAGAAATATGGCTCGGACAGCCTCATAATCGAAGAACTACTAGCACACCTTGAACAAATTCGTGCCGAGGGAGCCAGCACAAGGCAACAAGCCAAGTTTACTAGAACGGATTACAGCATTGTTGATGCAGTTATCTACAGAAGGCCAGTATTAACCACCGCTTGATTTTAAACATGGTATTGAGAAAATTCAATGCGGACATACAAACTAAAGCGCTAGAAAAGCGCGACTTTAGAGGATATCAACCAATGGACCTGGCAGACATTACGTCAACATCTCTCGGTCACCATTGATACAAAGGAAAGAATTGAGCGATCTCAAGACTCAATAAGGAAAAGCCAACAAACCACTCAAGTCAACGTTACAACCAAGCGCCCGATAGGAACATGCATATACTGTAAGAGAAACAACCATCGCTCAAGAGATTGCAGGACAGTACCAATCCAGGAACGCGCAGCATTTTTGACAAGGAACCAGTTGTGTCATAACTGTGCGAGACCAAACAACAAGACCGACGCCTGTAGGAGTCCAGGATGCTTTAAATGTGGGCGCAAACATCATTCGTCATTATGTTTCTCCAGCCAGCAGACTCGGCACAGACCAATCTCCGCACAGGAAAGAACACCACAGCCGACAAACCCACCGTAACCAAGAAATCAAGCTCAGTCAAGTGGCGTACAGAGACAAAATAGACTCAGAACACAAGGAACAGCTCGCCAAAGCAGCCAAAATGTTATTACTTCAGAAAGGGAAGAAAGACACAGCGTTCCAGAGGAAGACAGCCAAGTATACCATGTCAGTGGCAGGAAGACCCAAAAGACAGGTGCATTGCTCCTCACAGGAACCACAACAGTACAAGGGCCAAGGAGTACCAAACAAGTCCGCATATTAATGGACACAGGGAGCGAGCTTTCATTTATCGATTCGACACTCGTCGATGAACTGGAATTGCCTATCAAGGGAAAAACCACACTGAGACTAAAGACATTTGGTACGGAATCAGCCAAAGAGACCCAACATCGCATCGTACTGGTAAACCTGCTGGATAAACAAGGACAAACGCACACATGTGAACTGCTCGACAGCCCAATGATTGTTACTACAAGAAATTGTCATCAGCTCACTCAAGAGGACTTGACATTTATCAACCAACGAGGTCTTTCTCTGTCATCATCACCAGAAGACCAAAGTCAAACACAAATCTTACTCGGATGCGACCACTTATGGGAGATGATGGAAGGCAAAGAATGCAAACTACCATCTGGAATGCACGTGATCGACACTAAGTTCGGACATATGCTCTCAGGACGTCAAACTACTCAAAAACCAGCGGAGAACTTTGAAGTGCAACAGGTACACGAAGAAGTCGATACGTGGGATAACTACTGGCGTATGGAGTCATCAGGAGTTGATGAATACACCGGTCCAGAAAAGATGGAAAAGCGAATTATTGAAGAGAAAGTCATGAAAAGATTCAAAGAAACAATCGTAAAAAAGGATGACGGCTACTACGTAAGATTACCATGGAAGGAGGAACATCCTCGCTTACCCGATAACAAGCGTATAGCGATAGCGAGGCTGAAAAGCCTTCTGAGACAATATAGCCATCAACCGCACCTCCTGCACGAGTTTCAAAAAACATTCGACGACCTATTGCAAAAAGGCATTATACAGGGTGCGCCAAAATTACGGAGACAGCGACTTCGAGTTGCCTAGGATGAGCAAGGTGCAATTCTTTGAAAACAAAAATGCAGTGACGTGCACAGTCCCATTCTGAATCGTCGACATCCATGCAATTTTTGAAATTCCTTGGTTTGTGTTTATACGGGTCCTCAGAAACATCGAGGAACCATCGACTGTGGCACGCAATGTGGCGAGTAGGACTCGTCAAGCTCATTTTAGAGCGGTTTCTTCAACGAATCCCTAGACATAATGTGTTTTATGCAAGCCTCAGCTTCTAGAACGGATCCGACAGCGTACCCTATCGAGCTCAGATCTGAAATGCTGTTCTACCACCGTTTAAGCCGACAAAGTCGAAAAAATCGGTTCTGCATCAATGCTGCACTAGTACTGAACCACCCTTGCCTCGTAAACGGGAGCTCCTACTTGATGGAAGGCCCAGCAACGATTTTCAAAGTGAAAATAAACTCAGGATAGCAATGGGCTCTGATAAGTCCAAAAGAGCCCCCCTGATTCCTATCTCTCGTGACATCCAGTGAAACCAGCGCGTCAACTACCTGCAAATTCTATCGCACACAATCCTTAGATTGTTCGTGGTCGCCACAGAAACACGCCCTTCTCATCCAGAATGACTGCATTCAGCTCCTTGTCCCCTGTACCATTTGGAGCATCTATTGATAGTGCTCGGGTATACACCAAAACGATGATAATTGTCGCGTGCGTCAAATGATTTAGGGACGGTGTCAGTATCAGTCAACCGCTGCAGCTACCATAGATTTTGGTGGTTGAACAAGGTAAGCATAAACAATTCTACACCACAGTACCAAAACTAGGACAGAAGAAAACAGCATCTGTGAATATCAGTTCAAATTGTTTGCTCATGCGTTGTCTCCGTAATTTTGGCGCACCCTGTTGAAGAAGTTACACCGGGAATGAGAAAAACGACGCCTCGCGATGTCATCGTTCACTATTTAGCGTATCAAGTTGTTGTCACACCGGAAAAGAAGACTACTTCGAGGAGGATCGTTTTTGATGCATCAGCTCACTATTCTGGCGAACCATCACTCAACGAGGTCCTTCACCAAGGTCCGTTGATATTGCCGAATTTGACGGGTATGCTCATACGTTTCCGCGTTGGGAAAACTTGCAATGGCAGCCGATATAGAAAAAGCATTCTTACAAGTGCGACTACAAGAAAAGGACCGTGACGCAACACGCTTCCTTGTGGATAAAAGACTTGTCAAAACCGGTCGAAGAGAACAACATTATCACGTACCGATTTACGCGAGTTACATTCGGCTTAAACTCATCACCATTCCTACTCGCTGCGACGATCGGTTTTCACTTGGAGACATCCAACACGATCCCAAAGTCACTCAAGAGATAAAAGATAACCTATACGTCGACAATCTACTCTTAACCGCCGAAACAAGAAAGGAAGCATACCAACAATACAGAGAAGCTAAGAATATCTTTAACGAGCTCAACATGAACATGCGAGAGTTCGTATCCAACGACGCCGACGTAAGGGCACGATTCGACAATAAAGACATCAGTACATCAACATCGACCAAAGTTCTGGGAATCAACTGGAACACTGCGAATGACACACTGATCGCCAAATGCAATGTGCAACCTTCAGAAGCAATCACAAAAAGGACGGTGCTACACACTATCGCATCAGTGTACGATCCTCTAGGATGGATTGCCCCACTGATGATCGGATGTAAGCACTTTTTCCAGTCACTGTGGACCAAGTCGTATAGGTGGGACGACATTCTTCTGGAACAAGACCAAGCAACTTGGCAGACGTTACTAACATCAATGCAAGGATTCTACAAAGAAATTCCCAGACAACTGGCAAGCAAAAGAGAGGAACACCAGATCATCGCATTCAGCGATGCCAATATACGAGTTATGGCAGCCTGCACGTATATCAAGAAAGGGAAAGAACACTGGCTTATTCAAGCAAAAACGAAGCTACCGTCGTTGAAAACAACACACACCATACCAAAGCTGGAAATTAATGCACTCACGATAGCAGCACGACTCACGCTATCCACCTACGAAGAGCTTAACAAGATAACCTCAATAAACCAGTCTACATCTTGACAGACTCAGAGATAGCCCTTAGCTGGCTGAAGACAGTAGGAGAATCCAAAATTGTTGGAGTACTTGTCGCGAACAGAGTCAAAGAGATAACGACGGATTGCCGAAAAACTACAAGCTGAGGGAGTAAAAGTGTACTTTGGATATGTGAACACGAAATGAAATCCAGCGGATTGCGCTACACGAGGATTGAACGCAGAACAACTGAGAGACCACTTCTGGTGGAGAGGACCACCATTTCTGAAGGAGGAGGAGGATAAGGATAATTGGCCAACCGAAACGAAACTCTTCCAATACACCCCTCCGGCAATAGAAGTCCTTCAAGATCACAACGCCTGCACCAGAGAACACAATCATCGACGTGTCGCGATTTGGTTCAACGATAAAGTTGAGACGAACGGTAGCCAGAGTCCTCAAGTTCCTCCAAAAGGTGTCGCGTAATCTACCACCCGACAAAAAAGATAAGGTAGCGAAAGCACTCTCCATCTATGAAGAAGACAATGATCCGCACACCATCACATCGAGTACGCTCAAAAACGCGTGGGGATGGATAGTCAAACTCCACCAAAATCAAATCAACAAACAAGCAATACCGAGCTTTCAAAGAAAGCTCAACATGCACCAAGACGAAAAAGGAATCTGGAGATGTTATGGACGGCTAGGCAACAGCTTCCTACCAGAAGACGCGAAGAATCCAATCTTCATTGCCGCCGAATAGCACGCTAGCCCAACTGATAATACAGGAGGCGCACGGAAGGCTGCACCGATCAACCGCTCATACAATGCTGGAAGTTCGTCAAAAATACTGGATTCCAAAACTTCGTCAACAAGCCAAGAAGATAATTGCAAGATGCGTGGAATGCCAGAAAACCAACAATTTACCATTCAGATACCCACCCTTGGCAGAACTACCTCGCAGACGAGTCGTACGTTCACGACCCTTTCAAGAAGTTGGACTTGACCTGTTTGGACCCTTGAAGAGCCGAAACACGACCGGATTTCAGACGAAAATGTATGGGTGTATTTTTACCTGTGCAACGACACGGTTGATCCACATAGAGCTCATCAAGGACAATACCACAATTTCGTTTATTAATGCAACTCGACGTTTCATGTCAAGGAGAGGAGTACCCAACTCGATCACTTGCGACAACGCACCTACATTTTTGCTAGCAGAAAAAATCATGACGAACGACGACGGTAACCCACAAGCAGAAGAAAAAGTAGATACATTTATGGCCAACGCTGGCATCAAATGGATAAAAATCACTCCGCACGCTCCATGGGAGGGA